AGTAGTTAAAGTAATTACAGTATATTGTAACACATTGGGCCCAATAAACTATTGTTGATCAGACTTGTTTTGGTGTACATGTGAAGCACACTTGACATGCCAAATCATAATTTCATTTTTGGAAAAATTATACTGGTGCTGTGTATTGTAATGCCAGTAATTTATTAATGCAGACTTGTAAAGTCACTGAAAGCTCTGCATTTAGAACAGTGATGACTTTGACAGGTTTGCTTTGAAGTCACAGTTTAGCCTAATTTAAAAATCCATAATGGTCAGATGCTGATAGATTTAACTGCCTACTTTTTTTGAATATTTCTCAGGAAATGCAACAAAGAGATTAGCATCTTCTGATAGTTCCCGGCTCCCGCATGCCTCTTTTTGTCATTGAGTCTTACTCCTTCATATGTAAAACTGGCATTCTCACTGCTTCTGATGTATCATCACTTCTCCCAATGCATTTTTGTGATGTACAATAAAAAGCAAAAATCCAACAGGGAATCCTTTGTAAGGGCTGCAGTAGAAAAGCAAAGACTAGCAGTGCAAAAGATAGAAGTCTATTGTCAACCTATATAACTTGATTGCTGGTTTTGGGTGGTCTGACCTGTTGTAAATCTTAAAAATGCAAGGGCCTGCCTAAAAACAGATAGTAGCTATTACCCTTCTCTGATTTAATTTCACTTTGTTGCTGGAACCCTTACTCCCCCTGACCTCTGGACTAACCCCTGCCCAACTGCTGCGCCTTATCCAGTTAGAGTAGAGTACCCTTTCTGGCTATTAAGGTGGTTATATTGGATAGCGGAATTCTCTGCCATCTACACTGAACCTGGCTTATGACACCTATGCTGATTGTATGCTGTCTGCATAGACCCTCGCTCGTGCCCCCATGAGGATTCGTTGCCACCTTCACGAGCTGAACCCCCAGCCACTGGTCTCCACTCTCTACATGTACATTCCTTATAGGATAATCTGGCCCAAATGGAGACAACTGCAACTCAAAGATTGAGTGAACATGTTATTTCCTTAACAGAGGTAGTTCAAAACCAAGTCCAGATAAGCCAAAACCAAGGTTTACAGGCACAAGTGCAAGAATTGCAAAGACATCTAATTGCTTTGCAATCACAAGTTTTACAGCAACAGCAGAAAACAGCTACAGTCAGTAATCCTAAGGATGCCTGCCTTTCATTGCCTGTTAAATTTAATTGCAATCCTAAATATTACAGAGGCTTTCTGAACCAAAGTGGACTTAATTTTCAGCTGACACCTGCCAGGTTTGCTCTGCAGTGCTCTAAAACACGTTTTTTTGCTCACTCATGTGGCCCTGGCATGGGATTCCCTATACTTGGAGCAAAACTATGCTATTCTGGGAGATCTTGACAACATTGTAGCAGCTATGGATTTGCTATTTGATGATCCTAATCGCAGTGCAACTGCTGAAGCTATATTACTGCACCAAGGGCAATGTTCTGCAGGCGAATATGCTTGGTGTCAGATACAAATTGGAAGAACGGTGCGCAGTGTTTTCACTTTAGAAAAGGGCTTCTGAGCAAAGATGAGCTAGCCCGAGCTGACACAACCAAGTGTTTTTGATGCCATTATCGAACTTAGACAAAGATCTGTGGGGACCAATTTCTTTACTAAGTCTCAAACTACAGTTGAACCATTTGCCAATTCTGAGCCAGAACATGAACCAATGCAGACTGGAATCTTTCGTGGGTCTCTCAGTTTGCTCAAAAGAAACAAAGATGGGAACTGATGTGTTGTTTATACAGGGCATTTCATCCTGAGGCATCTAAACAAACCACAAAGAACAATTGCAGCTGGCGGTCAGAGAGAACTGTACACATCTAGTGAATTGTGATCCATTACACAATCCATATTTTCTTTAACACAAGGAGAGAACAAGATGGCCACTCATCATCCACATTTTGTTATAGAAATTATGCTCAAGGAAAAGGACCAGTTGTTTTCCACCTCAGCGATGCTGGACTCTGGGGTGGGCAGTAATTTAATGGGCCTGAAGTATGCCCAGTAAGAAAACTGCATCAGCCATATACCTAAGCAATCTCCAGTACACATGGAGACAGTTGATAGATCAAACTTTCTTCTAGCTGAATCACTCATGAGGTACTGAACTTGGACATCAAGAGGTGATATATCTTTCAACTTGATCTTCTCACTTCATTGTGTTATTGTAAGAATCCCATGGCTGTCAGATTATAACTCCACTATTGATTGGTGCCCCAGGAATTTTACATTTACTTCTAAGCATTGTCAGTTACATTGCCAAAAGAAGTACCTCTCACCTTCTGTTATTGGAGTAACATCTACTATTCCTGAAAGATCACCTCCTCCTTATCAGGATTTTAAGAACGCATGTAAATCAAAAAATGAACACTAAGTGTCACCACATCAAGCTAAATATTGTTTAGCAGAATGTTTACCAGGGGCTTCAATTTCATTTGGCCTCCTTTTCAGAACCAAAACTGAAGTTTTAATGTGACTTTCTACAGAAAAATCTGACAAAACGTTTTATCCGCCCTTTAACTTCCCCTGCTGGTGCCCCTTTACTTCACATTGAAAAGAAAGGCAGAACCGTTTGTTCATGCATAACTACATGGAGTTAAATAAAATTGCAGTAAAAAAAAAATCATCACCCACTTTTATTAATTTCTATGTTATTTGAGAGACTTAGAACAGCTAAAGTTGATACTGAGCTTGATATTAGGGGTACATATAAAGGTGTTCCTATCAGTGGCGTAACCAGAGTTATGGGTGCCCGGGGCAGAATTTTTTTTTCGCCCCCCCATATTATATAAACATCCACTGGAACTGTACTCCCCACCCCCACACATATATATCAGCTAAGGAACTACAAGTCCAAGTATGCCATCATTGTCCCTGTACACCCCCCCCCACACACACACATATCACCCAGGGAACGGCAATATCTGGTTGTTGTACAGGGGCAATGAGGGCATGCTGGGACTTGTAGTTCCCTAGCTGATATCTTATGAAGTTGTATTCCACCTGAAAGTACTACAATGCCAGTATAGAACTAAGAATAGAACATAAAATAAAACTTTTTTTCTTCTAATACTCGCCTGATTCCTGGATCCACCAACAAGCTCAGCCTCCCGTCTCCCATGCTGTTAGAAGTTGCAGTTGGCGCCGGCTAGTCGGCAGGTTATGCGGCCGTGCTGGAGCCTCGGCCGCATAATCTGCCATAACGGAGCCTGGTGCCTTGTTCTGGTGACAGTCGGCCCGGCCCGCGGCCGGCGCCCCCCCCTCCGCCTTTTTTTTTTGGGGGGGTGCGCCATCTATGCGCCCAGGGCGAACGCACCCCACCCCCCCGGTTGTTACGCCACTGGTTCCTATTAGACCTGGAGACCAGTAGAAGACTGCATTCAGAATACGATATGTGCATTATGAATCCTTTGTAATGCATTTTGGACTTTTTAGTGCACATGCCAAAATTTCATAAATTATGTTTTATGGGTATTGTTGGACCAATTTGGAGTGGCTTACCTCAATGACATACTCAACTTTCAAATAATCTACAACAGGATCATGTTTGCACATTTCTAAAGTGGTGACAGCAACATCAACTGTGCATTAAATTGGGGAAATGTGAATCTTAACGGGCCATATACAGTTTTTAGATTATATCACCTTACCTGAAGGGCTGGGCATGGATCTGGGTAAAGGTGCCCATACACCTTACGACCATCGCAAGACTTTTGTCTTGCGATGGTCGTATGCTTCTTGAAAGCCCGTACGATCTGCCCACCTTGGACGGGTAGATAGTGTTTGCGATCATCGAAAGCCCACCCCGCTGAGGGGCGGGCTTCCGATGACGGCAATGCAGAACGGGCACACACCGGCCCGTTCCGCAGCTATCGGGCGAGCAGGCTAGAAACCCGCCGAGAATCGTACGATTCTCGGCGGGTTTTCGAACATGTTGGCTCGACAAAAGACGTGCGACCGTACAGTAGAAACAGTCGCACGTCTTAGTTCACACTGCTCGATTCTCGTACGATCGCGGGATTTCGCCCGATTCTAGTACGAGAATCGAGCAGTGAATGGGCACCTTAAGATTCAGGCTATCTTAGCTTGGCCTCCCCCCAAAAATACAAAAGATGAGCAAAGATTTCTAGGCTTTGCTAATTTTTATCAGTTTCATTAAAAGTGTTTTGAGAATTGTGCCCCAATGCAGTTGACTAAGAAAAAAAAGTTTTTGATGGCCCCCTGAGGCAAAAATGGCCTTCTCGCATTTAGCAAGGGGAACTGGTAAATCTTATCCTAGAACTCCCCTTTATCGTAGAAGTGGAGGCCTTGAGTGCAGCCTTTAGAGCAGTTCTTTTATCAGAGCATTGGTGAGAAAATGTTGATCATTGTTTCTGCTGAGGGTTCTGACCCTAGCTTGTAACCCCAACAGTAATTCACCGCTGTCTGCACTGACCCTGGCATGTGATTTGAACTACTTGATTTCTCTAGATCTACTGAGAACTGTGCCTAACCTGAAGTTTCTGGCCACTGGTCCCCACTCCTTACATGTACATTACTAACAAACACAGAAAAGGGTTTTCCGGCTAAAACCTGTAATAAAAGGCATAATGTGGCTTTTAAAAGTTTAAGTTGAGTAAATGTTCACTTTTACTGTATATAGAGAAAGTCCTGAGGTGCACATTTGAGCATTTCTATAGCTCGATAGGAACGTTAGCTGAAACAGTAGTCCAGCTGTAATTGCTATAATCTTTTAAGTTAAAGCAGGCCTGTCTAGATCAGAAAGAACAACCTGACCTGGTTTATATTTATTATATGTAATGAAATATTCTGCCTTTACTGAGTCAGATTACCTGCTTCAACAGTAATGCTAAAGTGGTGGTAATTGATTGACCACTAGATAGAAAAAAGACAAGACTGCTCGACAGAAACTAAAAGGCATGACATGTAGTTTAGCCCTTAACTTCCACAATAAATGAATATTCTCTTTTCTCCAGGAGGCAGCATGGACTTGGAGGCGTTGGAGAGTAGTCATAGTCCTGCGCTGGACAATCAATACGAGCGTGAAGGCTGCACTACCCGAGGGCTCACACCTCTTAAAGGGCACCCAGAAAAGGCAGACCTGCTGACATCAGAAGTGAAGAGGTCACAGCCCTTGTTAATACAGAGCGGAAGATGGGGGTAAGTCACGATAGACGTAGATGAAAAATGATCTGCCAAAAATTAATGTACACTTAGTATACAAAATCATCCTGGTTGCACACAAACCTATTCTAAGCCTCACCCCTTTACCTAACCACACCCCTTTCATCCATATCCAACTTTTTTATTCATTTTATTTTTTAAATCGATTTTTTTTTAGAAATCGGTTAGAGGAGTTCTTGAGCCTTGAAAATGGTTCAAGAGACAATAACATGAAAGTATTATACTATTGCCTTTTATTGATATTATAGTTTGTTCATAACCATATATTTTATCTTGCATACTTTGTAACCAGCACTGTTACCTGCTGGATTGTTATAATACTAAATTAAACATTTACACACAGCACCATTTAAAATGAATGTAATTTCTGAATAAATGGATGTGTCTTATTAAAGTGTAAATTAATCAATTTTTTTTTACATGTAGTATGAATGGGTGTCAGGTTTGTATTGCTGTCTGTCCCCACTCGACAAAGTAACTCCTAACTGTCCTGAATCATTGTCACCAGGACTAAAAGTAAAAAATAAAAAAAATGTTGTGTCCATGGGACTGAAAATAAAGAGAAATCGTCTAAAACTAAAAAAATAATTTGGCCTTGGATACACTTTAAAAAGTATCATTGTAAAATGTATATCTATTTTTTCAAGTTCGGTAAGTATAACATTTTGCATATTTTTACTGAAAACATAAACTAGAGTACAGTTACCCTTTAATGTCCGCTTCAGCTAGATATTACCTTTTAACAGGTTGGACTTGATGGACTAATGTCTTTATTCAACCTCAAATACTATGTAACTATGTAACAGTAACACGCAAAATATTTAAAATAGCTCTTTTTATTTTTGTTGCAGCCGGTTACGAGATGAAGAGTCCCGATCATCTTCACTTCCTGACATCCCTAATCCATTCCCGGAACTTTGCAACTCCTCCCCTATCCTCAGCAACACACCTAATAGCAGCTCCCCTCTGGAAGGGGGTCCCCACGTGAGTACACTAATAAACAGCCTGGTATTAATACATAATATTTCATACTACTAGGGACTGTGTTGTTGTCCATATCAACTAGAAACAGAGCTATAGGAGGCCACAAACATGAACAATCATGTATGATCAGTCTAATGATGTCCCATGGTACAGTTATTTCCCCAAATTGTAATGCTGCAGTACTATGAGAGCTTCTGTTTACTGCAGTGGAGGTGCAAGAAGAAGCCATGCTTAGATAGTCCTGGTGATTGGGAAGACATTATGATTAGACAAGGTTTTCTAAATTGTCCAATTGTTTTGAAACCAGAGAACAGCCATTCAAGGCTATGGCCAACTTTATCTAACACAGTAACCAAAGAGACTTAATTTTGTCCTTTTTCAGTTATTGAAATATAATAGGGAGATTATGATTGGCCTGTTGCGGGAAGCAAAGACTTATGTACTTTCAGTAACCTTCATGCCATACAATCTGTAGGTGGATAGACTATGATTATGTTGGTAAATATTTAAACTAAAACAATGTGCTTTCCCTCAAGAGCAGATGGTGAAGGTGTACAGCGAGGATGGCACGTGTCGGTCATTAGAAGTGACAGCTGGAGCAACGGCTCGACATCTGTGTGACATGCTGGTGGAGAGGGCACACTGCCTGAGTGACGAGAGCTGGTCTCTGGTAGAACTACATCCGCATCTGGGGCTCGGTGAGGGAGATATGTAGGGATTCATTTTTATTAATACATTTGCAATTTTATGGATAGTTGGATTTGTTTCTTATACCAGTGAAAACACAGGACAGTGGTGAAGTTGCTTTTGAAAACGCATTAGATCTGGAAGACCAGATTTAGCTGCAGAAAGCAAGTTTTGTCGCCTGGTTTCTTCTACAATCTAACGTTTCTGAACAACCATGATAACACTTGTACAGAAATGACTTATTTTAGTGCAGTTTCCCACTATAGCTGTAGTACACAATCTTATGTTAAACATTGTGATCATTTAAGGATTATACTTTTTCAACAAGTCTCATATTGTCATGCTTTGAGCCCCTCCCTAGCTCAGAATGAGTTTATGTTGATGAAAGCATGCGGTGCAAATTTGGTCATTTAAAGACTCTTGTAAAAAAAGGGTTTCACAACCTAGGTTGTAGTGGGGTTTTAAAGAGGCGTCAGATGGTAATCGATTTGATATAAATTTATTACAATTCATTAAAATATTTATATGACAAAATTAAAAACATTCCAATAGATAAGCATGATATACATCACGGGATAGAGACAAAAGTCTTGTGAGGGTTGTAAAGTGTATGGCCACCTTGAGAGAGCTACAAGTTGAATGGTTGTGAGTAAAAGGTTGCTGAAAGTACTTTTGTTTTGTGAGGTGGGTCAGATAAGCTCACCACCCAGTAGAGAGAAAACCTGCCTTTTTAGTCAGAGCCTGAAAGGCAAGGACTTGTTTTCTGTTTTATTTTGTTTTATGCAACCTGTTAAATAAAAACTGACCAAGTCAGATAAACGAAGGACTTTGCTGCCTGGACTACCTTTTTCCCAGGGAAGGTGATCCCCATTTGAGCTATAACACACACACACTTCCTGTCCCTGCACTCTTCTCTGCAAAATCAGTAAATCCTCATAGACTTTTGATTACTTATATTAAACAAATGCAAAGCACAGGGACAGGGAATTTACAAGCAGGTAATCGTAGCTGAACTGCAGGGATAGCTGATGGTCTGCATTTCTGACACGAACGTCTCAGAGAAATTGAAACTTACATATTACACATACTTTCCCCACACGTTTCCCAATAACACACCTGTGTTCTTGTTTAAAGAAGATGAGTAAAGTATTTGGAAAATTACACTGAATCATGTAAGTAAATGTCCTTATATCAGTTAAACAAAGCAATGCAGTCACTAGGATCATTTTGCAGGGTAGAACAATAAAAGCAACCTGAATGGACACCTACTTGAAATCTGCCCCACTTACAGTTTAATATGTTACCTACATACTGAAATCATTGGACCCTGAGGAATAGCAACAGGTATAGGAAAGATTGCAGCTATATCAGACTCATAGCTAGGATAGGCTCTAGTCCTGCTTCCAGAATGCAAACATAACTGTTATCTTTATTACACCCATTAAAGCAAAATCATTAGGGATATTAAGGGTAATGGAATATTTTATGGTTATAATTGTGGTATAGTCTCTGGGGTGTGGTCAGTGGTTAATGCCAATGCAAGGCAGAGCACTTGGACCTTTTTCCCCAATGAAAAAATATGGTGTGACTTGCTCATCCCCAAGCCTTGTATCCCTATTTATATACACTGTCTGTCCAAAAACAAACAAAAAAAAGTCACACACTGTAATATTTTGTTTGCCCACCTTTAGCTTTGATTACGGCGCGCATTTGCCAAGGCATCGTGTTGATAAGCTTATGCAGTGTCCAGAGTTGCATTCATTTTTCACCTAGATCTCGTAGTAATGATAGGACAGTGGGACTGTGTAATGTCTTCTCCAGCGCATCCTAAAGAATCTCAATGGGGTTAAGGTCTGGACTCTGGTGGCCAATCCATGTGTGAAAATTATGTCTCATGCTCCCTGAACCACTCTTTCACAACTTGAGCCCAATGATTCCTGGCATTATCATCTTGGAATATGCCCATGCCATCAGAGAAAAACAAATCCATTGATGGAAAAACCTGCTTATTCAGTATATTCAGGTAGGCAAATGACTGAATTTCTTGGAGACAAAGCATTGCTGAACCTAAACCTGACCAACTGAAGCAACCCCAGATCATAACACTGACTGAAATCCAAGTGGTGGCGTTTTCTTTGGCCAGGCAGTGTATGTGGTATTTAAAATACGTACACCACATTAAGGGCCTATTCACACCAGTGGATTATAAAAGTGCTTTGACACGTGTTCATACCACCTACAAAACTGCAAGAAAAATAATTTCCATTATAATCAATGAAGCTCATTACATTGGTGCATAGTGTTACAACAATACACACTGTTTTTAAAAAATCCAGCTTGCCATGCAGTCCTTTAAAAATGCAATTACAAATGCAAAAATTACTTATTGTAGTCAATGGTATCACATTGAAAAGCACCAAAACATACTGAGACCCCCTAAAAATGCAATATATGTTTGAATCGATGTGTTTTAAGTCACACGTCCATGACTTCACATGTGTGAAGCTCATGTATGTACCTGAATTTGACTTGGTATCGATCCTTGCAATCTCCTATGCAGCAGCATTGGGGGCTAATTAGGTGTGCTGCATGCAAATGTATTGACTAAGTACATAATAATATAGGCAGAGCGCAGAGTGAGAAAAAAGATGACCTCATTAGTCTGCTGCTACTCCTTTAGGCTCTGTTCACACCTAGGCATATCGAATATGCACGTTTGTCGCGCGTTTTGTGATGCGCATTTTTAACGCGATTCGCTGTAAAAAATGCACGACAAACGCGCGTTTCCGAGGGCTACTTGGCTGTATCCCAATGGAAACGCGCGACAAAAACGCAGCAAAGAAGCTCATGTACCTTTTCATGTGTAGGCCGTTTTGTAGCGCATTCAGACGGGCTGAAATACGGCAAGGTGTGAACCATACCCATAGAAAACAATGGGATTTTCATGTTTGAGCGTTTTGTAGAGCGTTCGTAGAGCATTGAACGCGCTACAAAACGTACAGGTGTCTAGTCAGAAAGCTGGGATGGAGAGAGGTAAGTGGTGTCAGCCACATGCCTGCACTGTGTGATGGGGCTATGACAATTACAGGAATGATTTGACAGAAATATGAATTCTATGGTCAGTAATACAGCTCCCTTGTATGGAGTTTACTTCTAATAATAACAATAATAACAAGGAACGAGTGTTTGGGTAACTGAGCAGACTGGAGAAGAAAGGCCTGCAGAGTCTGCCACCTGTTCATAGGTATTTTCTTAATGTTGTGGAACTGGTTTTCTACACCTCACTGTGGATTATTGGTAGGGGGAGGTTAAGGTGGCTCTTGAGTTGAGTTCTGGAGATGTGCCCAGCCCGAACCAAGTTCAGAAAGTAATTTTCTGCTTTCATTCTCATCAGTATGGTGGGAAATAAATAATAAGCAAAATATGAACCTATGAACTTGTATTTTGCGAGTTTAGCTTTGCTTTGTGGAGACCGCTGAACTACAGTAGGTAGCACAATGCACTTGACCGAAAACAGAATTGCATAACATTGGATGGTGCACAGAAAATCTACCACCAATGACTTTAGGTAGTCAAGTTTAGGTGAAGTTCAATCACAAACATCTTTTGACTGGCTTTTGGTGCTTTCAGTCAATTTCCACTGCAGTTTTGTTCAACAGATTCCTCTTACACATAAAACAACAAACAATGGATAAGAAATTGCTATGGACTGTTGTATTCCATGCCATCATGTTTTTAATCAAAAGCTTCCAAATATGCCACTAAATGTATATAGCGCTACAGAGCTTAAAATTCTTATTCTGCACCTCCTGTGCATTTAAACCATGAAGACGATCAAGGAAAGCTTTGGCAGACTCAATGGAAACTGTTCTAGTCATGACCATTACTGTTGTGTAAAGGCAGACAAATCATGCATTCTCCTATCTTGCAGAACGCTGCCTTGAAGATCACGAGTCAGTGGTGGAAGTTCAGGCCATGTGGCCCGCAGAAGGAGACAGCAAGTTCATTTTTCGAAAGAATTTCACCAAGTATGAACTATTCCGGGGATCTCCGGTGAGTACAAAGAACCTACACAGAGACTGATAGATGGTTGTGACTAGTCCTACTTAGATAATTACACGTTACTCCTGTTTCTTGTAATTTAGGTATGCTCAGATCATACTCTTCTGCATTACTAAACTCAGTTCAAATATTTGACTCATTGTATTTTTGCATCATGAGATAACTATGGATCCAGACAGGCTCTATCTTCTCAAATTGCAGAAATACCATTTCATACTTGTATCTCCCAGCTTATAAAGCCTGTTCAATATATGAAATTAGAAACATCACTTTGTATCGAAATCTAAGATCAAAAATGTAATATATGGCATGTTACCAGTCCTTAGATGTGGTGGCTGCATTATTTTACTTGATTTCCTTTTTTTTTAACCTGGTAATCTTACCAGTAACACACTTCCTGTCCTAGGGTGACAACACTCACTCGCTGTACTGTATATATATGAAGGAGCAGAGTTGCTGCCCTCTCCTCATTTCCGAGGAGGTGTTGTAATTCACTGAGATGAACTCGATATGGATGCTAACACTGCAGAGATACCACAAAAACTTACAAGATTACTAGATTTCTGGCAGGATCAACAGGTATTTTTTGGTAAACTATCAAACAGATATAACAAAACACTTTCAATAGTAAATATAATAGACAAAAAAGGAGAAAAGGGCAATTCATTGTTGAGTTAATACATGCTTTAAAAACAATAGAAAAAGGATTTCTTCCGAATGTATAATGTAGGTTGTTACATTAAAGTGTATTTCCACTTTGGCAGCCAAATTGGAACAATACCTACTTTATATTTGTTACATGTTCCCATTAACGTAGCATATTTAAAAATAGCTTCTTACGATTTTAAGTGCTTTTTACTTGTTTTAAAAATCTTCCTAGCTTCGCACATATCTAACGTTAAGGAGGGGGCTGTGGAGGTTATGCTTACAACAATTAACCCTGTCTGTATTGTGCTGGCAGAATTTATAATCAGTTATAAACTAGCTGTGCACACTGTCTGTCTTAACAAAGGGTTACAAATCTCAGGCCTTGGATTCTGCATTGTATGTTAATGAGGGGAAACCGACTTTGTCCCTACCTTTTCCTATGAAATTTCTGAGAATAGCTTGCAGTCTTGCGTATAATGCTGCTCCATGGAAACAACAAGAAAGGTAAGAAATATATTTAAAAAAAATATTATTAGGTACGCCATGTGAATGGAAACACATAACAAACATATAGTGGAGGTTTCTCAGATTTGACTGCAACAGTGGAAATGGACTTAAAAGAACATCTACACTGAAATGTTAACAGGCTTGTTGGGCTATAAGATTAAAGAACAAAGAAGGCAAGTGTCACAGAGTTTCTGTTGCACTTTATTATTAACCCCAGCAAGACTGTTATTATAATTCTAGGTTAACATGTCAGGACAGGAAGTAATAAGAAATCGCCCAAATCTCTTTGGAGACACAGACAAAAGAAAAAAAACCCAGTAGAATGGGGAAAGGTTAGAAAAAGACTAAAATGTTTTTATTGCTGTCAGTACTTTCCTGTCCCACTAACAGCTGCTTCCCGATTTTCGTCCTACAAGAACAGGAAGTAAAGTACAATTTCATCAATGGGGTCACGGACAAATAAAAACCTGACCATTTTAAATTCAACCTAAAAGTAAAATACTTAGAAAATACTTTTTTTTCCTCTCCGCATATACAATAACAGTGCAATATTGTTGTTTCCCAGTATACATTATTCCCGGAGGACATGATCGCAGGAAACTTGGAAGCTCACAAAGGACTCTCTCACTCAGAGCTAATACAGGTGCGTAAAGGACTTGATGAGACTAGGATGTTGACCTCCTGTGCTGGCAAAAGTTCCTAGGCAGAAGATGTGGACTATTTGGTTCTTGCTGACAGCCTGACAGTGTCCGGGACATTTTGTACACTGACTGCACGGGTCAGAAAAAGGTTGAACCAACCAGTAGTCAGGTTTAAATTACAGTGACTGGACGTCTGAAACAAGTCTGGGCTGCATATATGCAGATCCAAGATCACTTATTAACATGTATCAAGGTTGAAATCTGATCATTATTCTCCTTCGCAGAACTTCCTCAACTCGGGCAGCTGGCCTGAGATCCAAGGCTATTTACATATGAAGGAGAGTGGACGCAAAGTCTGGAAACGATTCTTTTTTTTCCTGCGCCGCTCAGGGCTTTATTACTCCACCAAGGGGACCTCAAAGGTACATACACTGTGTAAGATGCATACATAAAACCCTACCTGAATCACTATTTTTTTTTAAAGAGATGTTGGTGCAGGACTTTTGATTTTAAGAGATCTAATGCCAAATGGAGTTAAGAATGGTTAAATTAAAAACACCCTGCCACCAATTTAAAAAACTGCTTTTTCCAGCGTAGCTGAATGTTGTTGTTCTCATTCACAGCAAAAAGTAGGGCGATCAGTCCCTGACGGTGCACATAGAAATTCCTGAATCCTGTTAAAGGAGAACAATGGAATTAGGGCTTTTCCCCATAGTTCTTCTTAGGGTAACGGGAGGACACAAACTAGCGCCCTCCCGTCGCCGCAGCTGAAGCGGATCCCAACAATTATGTCTGGATCCGCCCAGCTGCGTGAGTGACAGCTGGCTCTGCCTATCTAAAGGCAGAGCCAGCTGTACCCGCCCCTCCCCCATCCGTTCCGCCAGTCAGCGCTGGAGGATTGGAGCGGGATGGGGGGAATCCAGCCCTTCCCGAGAAGTGAGCTAATGTGTTTGCTCACTTCCCGATCTACTGAGCCGACCTGTGACAGTTTCATTGTCACAGGTCGGCTAGAACTATGAAGTTGTGAAAAGCACTCACCTCATAGTTCTCCTTTATAATAAAAGTAAAAGCACTGAAAAATCAATTGTTTCATTGCTTATTTTCAATATTTTTCCTCTCCATAATTTTTTATTTTTTATTTTTTTACTTGAAATGTGCCTCTATTCTTGATTGAAAATGTGACTACTCCAGAAAGAGTCAATTCCCAAGCACAGCACAAGGCAAGAACCCTTGTTGTATGCTGGACATGTTCACAAAATGCTGTGTTGGTGTGTGGTGTGAGAATTTGCCCATTTCATTTTCCATAGATGTTTCTCCCTTGAAAAATGCAGTAGTGTTACACAGTCACGTCTCCTATGGTTTCATTGTATTTATATCATTTGTCTACATTTGAATTTTTTTTTACAAAATACATTCATTAAACACAATAAACACAAATGTGTTCAAAAGTTCAGAAGTCCTTACAATGCTAAGATCTTGTTAGCCATAGATGGGTTATCTTTACAATCACCAATTAACCAGTTTCGAAGTCTCAATGTTTGCAGATAAGACAAATGGAAATGTGGAAGGGTTGGAACCACTATCAGGTTTTTATTGCTGCCTGTTTTCCTGCTGCACAAGTTCACCCTCACTATTGGCCATGATGACAATGGTCACAGGACCGAAAGTGAAGGAAATCCTGTTCTGGCAATAACTTTCAGGGATTTTCCTTCAACTTTGGATAAACTTTCTCCTCGTATCTCTGGCACATTAAAGTTAAGGGTAATCTCCCCAATGGGCACAGACAAAAAAAACTGGCAGGGTTTTGGTATTAGATACACTTTAGGAAGCATATAAATCAAGCCTGCACAAATCCAGATAACCAATGGTCATTAAAATGTACAGTTGGTGCCCAACTTTTGAGGTTTTTCTCCAGTTGTTTTCAATGGAGCTGACCTTGGCCAATCCTCATATAGACATTAGGTGCTAGTAGTCCAATCTATCTGGTTTTGTCCAGGAATGCTTGCGTGACCTAAAAATTCCTGTTTAGGATTGAAGCTAAGCCATCTTGAAATAGTAGGATGATGGCAGCTAATCTCCATACCTAGCTTTGAAACTTTAATTTCCAGAAAGCAAAACATTTTTATACTTTTTATGCTTGACAAATAGTTGCCCTTTTTGCAAAGATTACTTATGAGATTTCATGTCCTTTGAAGAGGATTAGGGAGTTTCTGGCACCCTGCTCTTTATGGTGAATTATGTACAACTGTAAAGTGAAGACATTCCTATGCCAGAAGTGATGGCTGCAGATGTTAGATGGGTGTTATAAGGCCATATATGCCTTCCTTCTTTCCTGAACCTTGTGATATAGTGTGTGGATAGTGTTCTCTACAACAGAAGCTCCATCAAGGATATAGCTTTTTATCACATAGAAACACTGTCACAATACAGAACATTTTCATAAAATTGATTCAAACTCTATATACATACTATCTAACCAATCTGTTGTAAAGTTTACTTCCCAATGGTCTGGTATAGAAGAGATACAATAGTTCTGGACTGTACTCCATACAATGTTGGGACGGATGTGGGAAGATGGTGCTAGTAGTGACAGCAACGGATGGCACAGTAGAGTACCATTAAAGTTCCCTGTCTTTCATGCTGCTCCATTGGCTTCACTACTTTCTAAGTCAATGACCTGATAAAGGGAGCAGAGTAGGTGTGGAAAGGCTATCCACCTCCCAAATCCACAATGGCAGTGCATTGGCATTCCCATATAGATCTAATTCCAATAGAGTCTAATAAGGATTACTTTACAAAAAGTACAGTTGTCCTTTAAAGCCAAGGTTACTTTGTGAACTATTTGTCTTTTATATCAACATTTGAAAAACACTACAATAATTTATAGGTGGCATGAGGAGTATTATGAGATGCATAAAGCGAGCTCTAAGGTTAGCCCTCGTTACTCGCAGCAGAGCAGATTTATAAAAACAAAAAAAACAAAAAGCATGATAGACTATACCTGACTGATTGCTACAACTTCTCATAGTATAGCTTTAAAATAAACCACAATTTATGAGCGCTGCCATCATATGGACAGGGAGGGATGTAGAGCCTAGGAGGGGATTACTAGGACTTTGTACCATGGGTCATATTTACTGTTAATTTTCTTGTAATTATTATATTCCATTGATTTCCAGTGACTTATTTGCTCTACTTGCACCATTATGTGAACTCAGTTCTATTACAGTAATTATTAACAATGACTTCCTTACAACATTATACTGTGTGGGAACAGGATCAACTTCGAATAAGGTTAACTTATTGGTATCTATGCATTTGGTCTCTAGATGAGCATTAAAGAGAAACTCTGTACAACATGCAGATTTGTGAAACAGGGCAAGTGATCATAGGCTGGTAATTACACTACCTCCATCTGATCTGCAGTTTCCAAAGTTATGTTTCTGAAGTAGTTTTAGCCATTAGATTCTGGTGTGTAAGAAAAACTTTAGAATGTGTACTATAAAGCTGCAGGTTGGGACACTGAGCTGGGTTTGATTAACATTTACTATACGAAGCTCATCCGTAAGGTTGGGCATCATAACGTAAAATGCAGGTCCAGGGGATTAGGTAAGTAGGAGTCCTTTACACAGGTCCCCTAGTCATTAACAAGCAGTCAACACTTGCAGTGCAGAGGTAGTCCCACTGCAAAGAGAGATTATTTTTATTGCTGTAGATATGCTTTAAGGCAGGGCCGAAACTACAGATCTCCTGGCCCCATAGCAAAAATTTAATAGGGCCCCACCCCTGATTATCCTTTTCTGAGCTGTGAGTAAGGATGCTAAGATTCCAAAAACTCCTCTTGTACATCTGAAGCTGTCTCTACACTGTAAACTTTACAGGGAATTAGAGTTGTCATCAACTGCAACCACTCCAACCCTTAATGAAACAGTACTGTATTTTCTTCACATGTTCTATGTTTAATTTGCCTCAACAACATAATGGGGCCCCCTTCCACCCCCAGGCCCCATAGCAGCCGCCTAGGCTGCTATGGCTATAGTCACGCCACTGCTTTAAGGGTGTAAATACCGTTCAGTATTTCAATATGAAGCTACAATCAAGAACACAGAGACATGACCTCAAAATGCTAGGAGGAACGTTCAAAACTAACCTTAGAAAAGTATTATTTTACTGAAAAAGTAATGGAAAGTTAAAAAAAACAACAGAAAAACAAAAAATCACTCGATGGACCTTTTTGTCTTATTCTGCTATCAATGTTCTACGTTTCTGTTTCCCTTTAACAGCAGCAGCTGCTGCCAGACCCCTCTAGAGGGAGATAAAGGGAAGACGAGAGACACATTTTGTATTGGGACAAATGAGCAGGTTATCTATATCTACAGATGTCCTATGAAAAACTCTGGTGTAAACAAAAACTTAAATACTGCTGGAATTCACATTAGCTCATTTTCTAAACCTAGAACAATATGTTGTCTGTGCCTGTCCTGGTTTGAGATCATAGTAAGCCAGTGAGAGCTGTATCTGTGCCCACCCTCGCCATTTATAGTTAATACAATAATATGCTTAAGGTGGAGAAGGGGCTACACACTGCTCCTTTTCATATTTATGGCTGTTAGAGGCATGGCAGAATACATAAACAGTAAGGGGGTTATTTATAGCAGAGAATTAATACCGCTATCCCTACACAAACCAACAAAAACAGCCTGGTCTACATTTTATGGCCCATTCATAAAATACAGGCTGTACTTTGGAGCTGGTGTTGCCCTATACAGTTCTCTGTGCCTAATGCTGCAGAAAGAATTCCACATTTGAAGGAAAAGCTGGTCACATGACTTTAATGAAGCACATAACGGGGCCCTTCTCCTGGCATGTATTTCTATTCCTTTTAATAGCACTAAGCTTGCTCCCAAAGCAAGCGATGCATAATGCACATTTGTTTGGTTTTATTATCAGTGGTATAGCCATACTGCTGCTTTATAACCGGGGCCCTAGGTGTATTCTATTCACTGAACTGTTTTGTTTCTTCTGTAGTCGGAGTGAAGTTATGTTGAATGAGTGCTTAGATGATAATAATTAATTGAGGGATGTACTGACAACACATTGATACCCTTCAGGATCCTCGGCACTTACAGTATTTTGCTGACGTGAATGAATCCAATGCCTACTGCCTGACGCAAGGAAAGAAACTCTACAGCGCTCCCACTGAATTTGGCTTTTGTTTGAAGGTATGTGCAATATAAAGCCTCTACAAAGCCTTTGTTTTTAGAGAGTATGTTTGTTCATCTTAAAAACATTCTTTACTGTCTGCTTATACAGTACATGTATGCATGGTTTGAAGTAAAATGAAAGGCACTTAACCAACCTCGTTTCTCTGATTTGACTCTGACACAGAGTAGCTTTACCCTTGTCTCCTTGGCCAAGTCTTCTGGTCTCCATCCACTCACTTCTAATATCTTTGGTAAGAAAAACTTTGGTAGGAGAACAATGCTACCAGTTTCAGTGGGCAGTAGCTTGTCTATTCAAGACTGCAAGGTAGACTAGGACATTATACATGAGTTGAGACCAGTCTCCTGACCAGGATATAACGGCCATAGCAGAAATTAGGGGCATGGAATTATTGAGACAACTGAATAAAGAGAAGTGGGGAAGCAAGTATCCACAAGAAAAAGCAGGAGGGATTGTAGAGTGGCCCAGAGCATTCTTAGAGCCCCATCAGCATTGTAACTGTTGTTAAATAATTCTGTGATGCCAAATACACTTCTATAGAAATAAATTAGTAATGGATATTTTATAAGCCCCTGATGCTTCTACTTGCATCACCTTCACCTTCTCCTTACTGCATGAATGTATATAAAGCAAACACCTTATAAACAATTTCTGTAGCTATCTCTCCTTATACCATTTCTGCTTATTTGACTGATAAATGTTACTGCCTTTTTTCCAGCCGTACAAGATGCGGAGTGGCACTAAAGGGCTGAAGATTTTGTGCAGCGAGGATGAGCAATCCCGCACCTGTTGGCTTACTGCCATTCGACTGTTTAAGGTAAGCTGACAGGTAGCAAAGTTTAAACCTGTGCTCTTTTCTATAAATTATTAATTACACCAGCCAAGGAAAGGTTGCAGGCTGATTAAATTTATACCATGTGCACATTTTGACTCTGTTGGGGAAAATTTAAAGTAAACCTTTCTTGACACAGTATACCTGTACATCTAGCAATGTAACCTACAATGGTCCTTAGCTTTGCCAGCTTGGTTAAATGAGTAGAAACATTAACTGTGTAGTGTTCTGATGTAGAGTATCTGGTTGATGTTGTCTACAACTCAGCATATCTTTATGCCATTCTGACAAGGCAACCCGTACTTTCTAGCCTGCTGGTCATGTTGTATCAGAAACCTGTCTCTTCTTCAGACTTGCCTGGTCATGTACCTTCTGCTCTCCATCCCCAACTGTAAAGATCTGTGTGCATCTGAAGTTGTTGTGGTACCATGTGTTGTGCTTCATTGCACACATGCCAGCTGGGAAGCCTGTTGGCGTACCATTGAGAATCAAAGGCGGCACAACGCTACTCACCAACTTACCTAGTGTGTGGTAGCGTGCTTTGTGTGTGGATCCCATGCATTTAGCACAACCCTATAATGTGGATCGAACCTTAAGAGTCTACGAAAAGAGTGAAAAAAAGATGTGACCATAAAGCTGCCTTTGTTACTGTCTCCATTAAAAAAAGACAACTCTAGAATACAAATTGCACAAGAATGACGTAAGAATTCATAGCAAAGCATGGCAGCTTAATTTTGCCACAGTTGCCACTGAGTAGTATAGTAGGTCTGGGGCAGTAACATGAAAATGAACAGATTTAGCTTTACTTTCCTGACAATAATATATAGTCAGCGAGTGTTTGCATAGCTTCACTGCCCTTGAATTACTATACAGTTCAGGAGTCAGATAATGAAATTTAGTGATGCTGCTCCGGAATAAATATTTAGCCTTAGAGTCAGAGAGAGATATCTACAGTGATAGGTTTGAAGCTGCTTCTCCCACAGTGATAAACTATAACCTATTTTAGCCAATGGCCTTTAAGCTTTTAATAGATTAGCATCAGTGAAGAGAAATATTCTTATTAATTGGTTACTATAAATTACTCCATATTGAACATTATGCTTGATAGCTGGTATGCTGACATATATTACTTTTTGTTCTTTTTCTTTAGTATGGGGCTCAGCTCTACAAGAATTACCAGATTTGCAAACGTGGCCCTCAGTCTTGGACAGATCTAAAAAAACAGGTAACATGTTGATATTTTTCTGAGGAACTGACTGAAGTCAGTACCTGCATATACCCTGAGAACTTTGGGTATATCAGGGATGTACATTTGTCTAATAACCCTTTTGGAGAGCCATGTACTGTAACAAGGCTCTTCATAGGTTAAAGGAGAACTATGAGGTGAGTGCTTTTCACTCACCTCATAGTTCTAGCCCACCTGTGACAATAAGACTGTCACAGGTCGGCTCAGTAGATCGGGAGGTGAGCGAACACATACCGGGTTCGCTCACCTCTCGATCCTGTCACGGCTCTCTGCCGTGACAGGGGGAGGGGCTGGATTCCCCTCTCCCCGCTCCGATCTGCCAGCGCTGACTGGCGGAACGGATGGGGGAGGGGGCGGGTACAGCTGGCTCTGCCTCTAGATAGGCAGGGCCAGCTGTCACTCACGCAGCTGGGCGGATCCCGACGTCTAAGTCAGGATCCGCTCTGGCTGCGGCGTCTCAGTATACCGCGAGCTGTAGCTCGCGGTATACTGAGCTTAGGGTAACGGGAGGACGCTAGTTTGTGTCCTCCCGTTACCCGAAGGAGAACTATGGGGAAAAACACTGACCCCCATAGTTCTCCTTTAATGCCCGCATCAAGACTGTGCAGTGTATGAAGTGAACGATCTATAAAGGAAAACACTTTTAATCAGCTCTTTTGTGCCGGAGGTAGTTGTAATTCTTGTCCATTGCAGCAGCTGATACAATTTTGCCAGCAGATAACATATAATGTAGCTTTTGTGTAAAAGTGTACAACTCCTTTAATAAAACTAATTGGTAAGCCAGTTTTTGGCAGTAAAATACTACAAGCCTCCCTGTGCAACCTTGAATGTCAAGCACAGCCATTCGATAAGGTCTAGGTTAATCTCAGGATTTAATAAAACTAGCTATCCTTATTTGCCATTTGCTATCTAGATAAATGTGCAATTCAAGGACAATGTATAATTGTTTACAGAAAAATAACTGAGCCCTAAAATATTCAGTGTAAGAATCTGTGAATTTAGCCAGGTATATTTGGAAGTTGCAAACACAGATCCAAGTAGAGCTCATACTTAATGCATTTTCAAAAAGTCATAGCAAAAATCCACTAACTGTAGTTCCTGGTAAAGATGGGGGAACCAGCATTCCACTGAAATCTATAGCCCCTTTCACACAGGTGGTCCGAACATGTCCACCTGTCAGTTTTTCAGGTGGACCCGATCGGATGCCGAATGCTAGTCTATGGCCAGCCGGGTCTAAACGGACGTATGTCCGTTTACATCCAGTTGCCCCCAACTCCGACCTGGTCTGGAAAACTAACAGAATAGAGTTCACAAGTTACATTTCATTGAGGTCTAGCACAGTGTAATGCGGTTGTACCATGTTGCACCCTGATGTGCTGAACAAAAGTACTGCATGCAGTATGTTTTTTCAGCGCACACCACTGCAATGTGGTGGTGTGAAATAAGCCTATCTGAAACACGGCAAATTGCCTTGTCTTGCGTTGTGGCTGCACTGGCTGTTTTTTTCTGGTGTGAATCCAGCCTAAGATTGTTTGGACTCTAATGTTAAGGGAGGCTTCTTATTATGAGAGGGGACTCTGATGTGAAGGGGGGACCTAATTTTTTTGTATTTTTGCATGGGGTCCTCCCTTAAAATCCATAACAGACCCCTATCTGCGATAGGGGTCTGGTATGGATTATGTAGGGCCACAGTTCTTGTTTTAAATTTTAGACTGGGGTGCCTTGAGATTTTGCATGCTTCTAAAGGGTGCTGTGACTGAAAAAAAGGATGTGAGAGGAAATCTTCCCAACATGTAGGAAATACCCTTTTAGACAGCTGCCACCACAATAAGTGTCCCCATTGAAATATTTCTCCTTTGTTTCTGTTCTGGAGACAACTCAGAATGTTGGATTTTCCCTTTACATGCTAGTGACAGTAGTCATCAGGACAAATAGATGGCTGACTATCCCTAATGGAGGTGCAGACAGTAATTAAAAGCTGAGTGACAGAGTTTTAACCCCTCATCACTGTATCCAAAACTAAAACAAATTGACATAAGATGCATTCAATGTGGAAACCATACATGTTACTTTTCACTAAAGTGATAGTGTGACATTTGGTGGGTTGCTATGGATTAAGTGTCCATAGTCACTAGAGGGCAGTCATATGTGCAAGCATTGTGCAAGGGCTGTCAGGCACCTATATCCACTCACTCAAACAAATTAGCATTTTGCTAGAAGGAGGACGAACTTTGCAAACACATTTTGGTGCTTGTTAATTATGGAAAACAATAGTGTTTAGACAAGTGTATAACATTGCTCTTTCCCCCACTAGGTAATGGCTGGTGTGGTTTGAGGGTACTTTACTGTATGTAAATCTGTCACCCAATCTAACCAATAACAACCAAAAGTCATCTTCCTTTTTTTCGTACTTCGCAAATCATTATATAAATTGTTACCAAAGGGACATGCTGGAAAATCATTGGCTGAACATTGCAGCAAATCAGCTGGTGGCGCTGTCGGAATACAATGTACACATTGGGAGATTCTTTCATTCACGCTGATAGTATGGATGGAGGAATCTGCATTTTTTTAGTTCTGCCTGTGAGGCTTAACAAAAAAATATGACAGTGTGTACCCAACTTAAGTTTACCCAGCAATATTTAGTTGTGGATTGATGCTTGGGGTATGAACCATGCTCCCCAAAAGCTCTCATCTTTTTAGAGCTATCTTTCCTCCTTTCACCCATTAACTTTTCCTCCTTTTGTAAAAGGAAAACTCTCTTGTAATGTAATGTGATATTACTGGAAATTCATACATGAAGACTGAAACCCTCCTACCTCCTTTGTAATGATCCCTAGAGAGGAACTGGGAACTCAACCGGAATGATCAGTCCGTGGGAACCCAACCGGAATGATCAGTCCATCGTAATCCCTAAAAGATGTGAGGTGCTGATGTGTATTTAGCATGTTGGCAGCTATCCGGAGCTGATTTAGCTATAATTTAAATTTGATCTCCGAAATTTACATGATCTCTACCAAATCCTAAACCTTATACAAGCTAGACAGACATATACTGTGTATTGATGTGTTAGGAATTTCTGCAGGTTATAAACAGTTCCAGAGATCAAGGAAAAGATGAAGAAATATTATGTTACCTTCCAATTACTGATATCAGTATCTAAAGTCTTAAAGGTTAACTACAATGATTTGGGATCAAATGTATTTATTTATTAGCGGATACATCTTGTAACTGATGTTTTAGATCTTTTTGCTTTCTAAGAAATAATTTGTAAAATACACTTTTAAAGGAAAACTGTACCTCTGTATACTTATCCTTCAAGTGAGCCCTTTCCCCAGCACCCCATTACCACCACCAGATCCCTGTTTTGTAGATGGCTGAGAGCCACATAGGTAGCTGCTTCTTCTGTAGACGCACAAAAATCACATATTTACATAAAAGGGGCCGTCAAACCAGGATAATTTGCAGGGCCAGGTGTGCGACTCCCAGCAGGCTGATCACGAGGATGGCTGAACATAAGACTTTGGGGGGTGTAGGCGGAGGCAGCTTACTTAAAGAATAACTGTACAAAAGCACAGTTATCCTTTAATGCAGGGTCCCTTGCCACTTTATGCCACAGAGCATTATGTATTTTGAAAACAGAGAGCTAAGCAGAAGCTGTTTCCCTTCAGACTCATTTCTCCGACTGAAACTCTGAGAAGGGGAAGTGTGTCACCCCTCTGACTGATTCAGTTCTGTTTGTATATTTTAGCTATTGAGCTTTGTGAGCAGCAGGTTTTGATCAACAAAGACAGCTAAATACTGTATGTGAAAGGTAGCCCAGAACTCTGCTACTGGCTAAAATGTGAATATTCTTGTAATATTTCATGTTTACCTTAAAAATATAATTTCTGTTCTGAACATATTAATAAAAACTAGACATTTCTTTTGAATGTAACTAAGTGTTTTGCTCCTTACAGCGTAGTGTGTCAGATAGCACCTTGGTCCCTATGGATTTTTCGGGGTGTACGGGTCGAGTCATAGAGAATCCTCTGGAGGCATTGTCTGTGGCCTTGGAAGAGGCCCAGTCCTGGAGGGTGAGTATTAAGTGACACCATGAACATAGCTATAATATGGCCAGCTTAGCATGAGTGAGCTTGCACTACTGCCAGTGTCATTTGTGATGGTATACTGTTTGCTTACCAGCTTCTACTGTTTTCTTGCCATTATCCCTTTCATAGTTAGTTTAAAATCTGTATAAATGTAGCTGATGAGTAAAATGGGTTTTTGGCTTAGGATACGGGATGGATTGTATTGTATATATTAGAGGTGCACCGAAATGGAAATTTCAAAACCGAAACAAAACCGAAATAAAAAAAATTGTCAGGTCATAACCGAAACTGAAAATGTTTATTTTAATTTTTTCACATATATAAAAATTTGTATTTATTTTTTATAAACTTTTTATTTTTCATTCATAATTGATGATATAGTAACCATACTCTGTCCTCAATTATCTACAAACACTCAGCGATCACTGATTTGTGTTTGTACCGCTCTCCTCTCTGACACGCTGTCACAGGAGGCTGAGCGAGTGGTGCAGGGAGGAGAGCTCAGCTTCCTGTGACAGCGCTGAACCATCTCCGCCCACACACCGCTCTGCTGAGCGGTGTGGGAGGAGAGATACCGGCCGCTCACAGCGCTCTCCTCCTGCAGTGCTCAGCCAGCTGTCACACTTTCTCTTCTCCCCGCTGGGACACAGAGCAGTGCCCAGCGGGGAGGAAAGAAAGAATGGATGATTTCGTATTAATCTGTATTTATCTTTATTTAAAGGAGAACTATGAGGTGAGTGCTTCTCACTCACCTCATAGTTCTAGCCGACCTGCGACAATGAGACTGTCACAGGGCGGCTCAGTAGATCGGGAGGTGAGCGAACATATACCGGCGTTCGATCACCTCTCGTTCCTGTCACGGCTCTCCGCCGTGACAGGGGAGGGCAGGATTCCCCCCTCCCCGCTCCGATCCGCCAGCGCTGACTGGCGGAACGGATGGGGGAGGGGCGGGTACATCTGGCTCTGCCTCTAGATAGGCAGAGCCAGCTGTCACTCACGCGGCTGGGCGGATCTCGACATCGATGTCGGGATCCGCTGCGGCGTCTCAGTATACCGCGAGCTTTAGCTTGCGGTATACTGAGCTTAGGGTAACGGGAGGACGCTCGTTTTTGTCCTCTTGTGACCCTAAGGAGAACTATGGGGAAAAGCCCTGACCCCATAGTTCTCCTTTAAGTACTGAACATAAAAAAAGAAAGAAAGAAATACTTACATAAACTGTTATATATTGCTTACTTTAAATACACTGGTAGATTACAGGCAAAGTGACCACCTTTACTGGCAACTTCAAATCAAACTCATCTTGGGTCCCTTATGTATATACAGTATGTATATTATAGAGCATTAGAGGTTTACAGAAAGCCAGTATGTAATGTGCTCTTCATTGTCTTGCAGAAAAAAACAACTCACCGTTATAGTCTGCCCAACCCATGCCAAACGACCCCGAGCAGTGCAGGTAAGTTAAAGTGAGCTGTATGTATGTTAGACACAAAGATTCTAGAACATTTTTGTTGGATTCAAAACCTGGAAAATTCGCAAATCATAATAAGCACAAATAACAACAAAAAACATATGGTGCTGCATTGCTAATCGCAATCTATTTGCCAATGCCTAAAGTGAACTACTCCATTACTTAAAGGAGAACTATGGGGTTAGGGCTTTTCCCCATAGTTCTCCTTAGGGTAACGGGAGGACACAAAATAGCATCCTCCCGTCACCCTAAGCTCAGTATACCGCGAGCTGTAGCAGCTGAAGCTGGATCCGCCCAGCTGCGTGAGTGACAGCTGGCTCTGCCTATCTAGAGGCAGAGCCAGCTGTACCCACCCCCTCCCTCGTCCGTTCCGCCAGTCAGCACTGGAGGATCGGAGCGGGGAAGGGGGAATCCAGCCCCTCCCCTGTCACGGCAGAGAGCCATGATAAGGATTGAGAAGTGAGCGAACGCCGGTATGTGTTCGCTCACTTCCCGATCTACTGAGCCGGCCTGTGGCAATCTCATTGTCACAGGTCGGCTAGAACTATGAGGTGACTGAAAAGCACTCACCTCATAGTTCTCCTTTAAGAATGTAAACATAGTGGTGCCCTCCTAATCCACTCTCCATCATCTGTTTCAGACACATTCCTCATTAGTAAAAATGTAGGTTTAGCAGACCAAACAGAACTGCTGCTCATAGTTAACTTGTGCCTAAAAGACTGACACAGAAAGAGAAGAGATGTCTTTGACATGTGAGCTGTAACTTAAAGCCTGGCCTTACCTTTTCTATTCTGTGTTAGAGGTAAGATGGTGGCTCTCCTTGGGGGGGAATAGATGGTTCTTGAGATACAGACTTGAGTTTTTCTTCACTGATTGTGCATCAGCAAGTTCTTCATATACTAAATAGTTCATATTTGGCAGAAGTTTCTGTAAAGATTGTCTAAGGAAAGCATTTCTTCAATATCCCATTCCCTAACCTTTACAAGAACAATGACAGCTTACATACATTTAAATAACTGAGGTCTTGTTGGGCCTATGGACTTCTTTGTAGTGAAGACTCTACAAGTCCCATATGAAAAAATATATGTTTGAACAAAATTGATACAACTTGTATATATATTTACAAAATTGTTTGGAAAAGAGTTGGGAAGTGTACCCCTTCTGAAGATTTACCCCCTGCTGAAGATTTACCTCTATGAGCTACATGACTGCAGATATTTCACATTATTTTCTTCCTTATCTTATTTTCCAACAGTCATACACAAGACTCAGGCGTGGTATCATGGGCGTCTATCAAGAGATGAGACTCAGCGGCTCATGATGCAGCAAGGAATGGCGGACGGGTAAGACCAGAAAGCTTTGACATCATGTCATTACTAACTCTGAATCTCTCTTCACTTCGAAGTGAATCTTCACTCACAATGACGCCCTCGTCAAAACAGAGTTACTCTTCTGTTTACTGTAAATACAGAACTACGTAACTTGCTAATGTGGTTTCTATCTGTCTTATTATATTTTAAGTACATTGTGAAAATCTATTACCATATCAAGACTCCGGAGCCAAATAAAAATTACTTTCATTTAGACATTACCAACAAACAGTTATCCCTTCTCAGGGCCAGTTTGGTCACAACAAACCACCCTGTAAAAGAAGAAGTTAAATACTTACCTTTTCGCCAAGAGGTGACAAGCCTCTGACCAAAGTTCTGTGTTTCTACAAGCAGTGTGTATTTGAGGAAATAAGTTGGATACACTTTTTTTATGAAAATTTTTATTTTTACGGGTTAATTTGAAGCACACATATCATGGGAGAAACACATAGACAACCAGTGTTGGTCTCTTTCTGAAGACGGCAATTGCCTGACTATCTGTAAAAAATAAGTCAAGGCAACTGGACTTGCTGTATATTTCTTGAAGACGTTTCACTGGACATACAACCAGCTTTCTCAATTCAGAATGACTTGTACAAAAATTCAGGATTCAGCAGTGTACCTACATCTAAAGGAAAAAGGTCAGTCCTTTGACGTCAGTCAGGTATGCATCATAGACAGGAGGAGGACTGGTTTAAAAGAGGTGTGAAAGGGGCCATTTATGTAAAAAAAGGAGAAGCCAAGCTTGAATATAGGTGTGGGGGGGGGGGGTGAGGCATCTATTGTCTGCCACATACAATGCTGTTTTAACACCTCTCTCTGGGCAGGCTATTAACACATCCTAGACTCCAATTATGAAAATGCAATCAACACCTGGTTGCAAATAACACATTATGTGGATTGGAGCAACATTCACCATATTTATTCCCAGATAATTTTTGTACAAGTCATTCTGCATTGAGATAGCTGGTCGGATGTCCAGTGAAACATCTTCAAGAAAAATACAGCAAGTCTAGTTGCCTTGACTTATTTTTTACAGATATACCGTGACCTGGATGCATGAGAACCTTCACAGACAATTGCCTGACTGTTTCTGACTCCTATACTTCTGAATTTAAACTGCTAAGATTTTGCCCCCAAGCAAATGAATAACTTCTAAGAAAAGGAGGTGTAAATCCCTAATGGTCATAATCTATTGGGTGCCAAACTTAAGCTGCTTGACCGTGTGCGGCACAAAAAAATTACCTAAGGGTGGGAGAGCAGCTTTATCATTTAAATACCAAGAGGTTAAAAAAAATTCGCTTAATCTAAAATAAAGAAGAAAAGCCCTTTAGATCTGGTGACAAGTTTAGCAGATTATTCTTGACATGATTTATGGTCTTATATTTTGTTGTGTGATGATTGCCATATCACAGTTCCTCTGTTGAAAGACAAATTATACCACTAACAAGGTGAGGAACCTCTGCCCCATGGTTAACCGTGATATAACTATTGAAAGCAGGAAACTTGTTGTCATTGAATATTAAGAGTGGACAAAGAAATAGCAAACTGTTTGGTTTGTTCTAGTCGTGGGGAATGGGATGAAATGAAAGAAGATATATCTTCGCTTGCCTTCTGACATAAATGATCTCTCTCTCTTTGCCCCCACAGAGTTTTCCTGGTGCGAGAAAGCACAAGAAATCCCAAAGGATTTGTCCTGTCATTGTGTCACTTGCAGAAGATCAAGCACTACCTCATCCTACCGGTATGTGGCTGACCTCAGTGCAACTGGAGAACGTGAGGAGAACATGGTGCTTTGTGCAAAGCAATGTTGGCACTGAAATAGCCAGCTGCTAAATTAAAATCGACTCTGATAAGAATTTATGATGTAGCCCTGGACCTGATAGTTTTTTCTGCTAGATAAGGAGTTCTCTATGACTTCAGCAAATTTAAAAGGAAGCATGTACTGAGGGAAATGCAAAGGCTACAATTGCTGACATCCTTCTGAAACTGATATCTGTCTGGCTGTCTCTAGCCTCAATATTTGATAAGCTATTAACCTACGACAAGCAAGAATTCCAGTTCAGTTGTCCTTTAAAGGCACACTCCCATCAAACCTGAAAATATTGCATATTTACTGAATTGATTTTGGCTTGTAAATTTCAGCCAAAGCATTCCATGAATAAGATTTCCACCATGAGAGTATTATTGCTTCTAGTATTGCTGTGACAATACACTGCCTGGCCCAAAAAAAAACATTCACACACTCTAATATTTTGTTGGACTGTCTTTAGCTTTGATTACGGCACGCATTCACCATGGTATCTTTTCGATAAGCTAATGCGATGCCACAACATGTATTTCCATCCAGAGTTGCATTAATTTTGAACCAAGATCTTGTAGTGATAATGGGATAGTCAGACCACTGAGTAAAATTTTCTCCAGCACATCCCAAAGATTCTCAATGGGGTTAAGGTCTGGATCCATGTGTGAAAATGATCTCTCATGCTATCTGAACCACTCTTTCACAATTTCAGCCTGATGAATCCTGGCATTGTGATCTTTAATATGCCCATGCCATCAGGGAAGAAAAAAATACATTGATGGAAAAACCTGGTCATTCACTATATTTAGGTAGACAGCTGACCTCATTTTTGGGGACATAACATTGCTGAAGCTAGACCTGACCAACTGAAGCAACCTCCAGATCATAACTCTAAATCCAGGTGGTGACTTTTTTTGGCCAGGCAGTGTATACTATTTATTGCTGTGGCAGTATGAATTTCACCTAAAGTATAAGCTGACCATACATGTGGCACTAAAGTTCAACATGCCTATTATGATTGCAAGTAATAGCTAAAAACTAAGGAATAAATTGACAGCCTCAATACAGTTTATTGAAAGAATGAATCGAGAACAATACAAAATAAAGCAAAGTCTTCAAAATCTATCAAATTTTAGGTTGGATTGAAGTAGGGCGGTTTCTAACTAATTTCCTTGCAGTCAATCAAAACCACTATTTAAGGTCTTTGAATGCCTTGCAATTTCCTCAAAAATGTGATCAAAAGTTCAGTTGCTCTATTAGATTAACATGTATGGCCATATTTGCTATAGGTTAGGTTCAATGTAAGTTCAGTGCTGACCATACACAAGGTAATTTCAACCATTATTAGCCAACTTTTGATTGCAAAGAAAGGTCAGCCTGGCCCTACAGTTTTAAAACTTGTTGAAAGTAATTGAAGATGATACAAAAATCACCCTTGTACAGCATATGCCTGGTAAATTGGTTAGGTATGGAGGCTACATATGAATGTATGGAAGGCAGGAGGCAGAACTTTTTTTCTTGTTAAAGTGAGTTAAAGAGTCAATGTTTTGTTTTTCATTTCCAAACATATGATTGGGTATTCAAAGTAAGGGCAACTTTATTTTATTTACAAAGCTAAGTGAGCATTACATACTGCTTTAGTAAATCAACCTCAATGACAACCTGCGTCCTGAGACCTGCCCAGTCCCAAGTGACACCTTGGCTGATATTACTTTCTGGACATGCCTTAAGCAACATCTGAATCATTTTATGATGATTCAGCATTTGTAGACCTAGAAAGTTTAGTCAGCTTTCCAGCACATCAAACTGTTATTAACTGGGTGTATTTAAGACATTTAAGATTGAACGCCTATAATATTAAGGACAAGATTGAAAAAACTGTTGACTTAGCATATTGTAGAACACATCACATTTGCAACGATCAGCCTTTTTATTATTCCTGTTTTTTTCTTTTAAAGATATTAGGTGAAATGTATAATGTTAATGGATATTGAATGTCTGGGAAAAAATAACTCAACATGAGCATCCATTTTTCTATATCTGGGTGTTTTAATTAATTAACCATTCGGAGCATAGGAATCTTCCATAATCGCATGCTTAGTTGCATCACACAGAATCTGTGATACTGGTATAGACCCCTTTACAGTTAAACAGGCCAAGCAATAGCATCATATCTCCCATAATCTAGCCCACCAAAAAAATGGTATGGAGAACATTCACTGGCTTGTATGTGTCAATCCCTCGATGATTGGACTCGATGATACTCCCTCGCTACCAAAAATGCAGTAAAATCCTCCATCAGGAGCACAAATGCAGCATTGACCTTATAGTGATTCATGCATGGCAAAGCAGCACGTTCTTTCAACCACCCCCACCCTTCCTAGCAACATATATTAAGCCTTGCTTTTTTTTGCATCTCTGTTACTCAGATACTTTTGAAGAGAACACATGACCTCCTCCTCTTCTTCCCATGTGACAGTGTTATGTCTTGGTTGCTATGACATGGGGGGTAGGGAAAAAGTTCTCAGCTCTGTATAATCTGTTTTCCTGGAATTCAGCTCTAAAACGATCCTTAAGTGACCAAAAACATTTGTAAAGTAGCAATTTTGTGGTGCTTTCAAGTGCCTATTTATCTTTATAGTGATCCCCTCGGAACCCCATTTAGGCCTGGGTATAGGTTAAGCCCCTGCCCGAAGTCCCACCCCTGTCATTGAACGTTCAAATGCCAGACTACCTCCCACTGACAATTTAGCATTTGACTATTTGAGTAACAGGGGCCAGTGTAGCACCAAAAAGGGTGATGTTTAATTTTGATTTGGGCACAACCTGAGTCGATGTGTACAGACTGGGGATGCACCGATACCATTTTTTCCAGATAGTATTATTCTGGATTGCTGTATAATGTAGTGCTAGGATTTGTAGTCCTCTATAGCCAGTTACCATTCGGCATTGCTGTATAATGTATTGCAGGGATTTGTAGTCCTTTATAGCGGCTAGTGTTATTATAACACCATCAGCTATAGGACTATAAATCCTAGCAATACATTATACAGCAATGCAGAATAATACCATCAGCTATAGAGGATGACAAATTCCAGCAATACATTACACAGCAATGCAGAATAACATATTGCTACATACTTTTGATGTCGGGCGGAGGGTCTCAGGAGGGGTCTGGAGGGTCTCAGGAGGTGGAGAAAGCTCTGTAAGCAGGTGACTTGTGGTTCCTAGAAAGAGCAGGATCTAAGGCAGCCGCTTCCATTTTTCAACATTTTAAGTGCCAGTATCGGTTTTTAGTATCAGGTCATTTTCACAAGTGCAAGTACTCGTAAAAATACCCAGTATCAGCACCAATACCAATACAGGTATCACTGCATCCCTAGTAAAGACTGAGCCTAGGATTTAAGGGGCAACACAGGGATCAATTTCAAGGCCTCATGGGTGCTCAAGGTACTTCCAGGCATCACAGGTGCCCACAATTCAGTACTGAGGTTATTTTAAGGGAAGGTAATAAGCCAGCAATGTATAATGTCAGTTTTATCAAATAAATTCTGTTTTTGTTTCTACTCTAGTGTGAGGAAGATGGCAGACCCTACTTCTCAATGGATGATGGACAAACCAAATTTTTGGACCTTATCCAACTGGTCGAGTTTCACCAGATAAATCGGGGTATTCTCTCTTGTAATCTCAAGCACTATTGCACTTGTGTAGCACTGTAAGCGAGTCCCGAATGACACACTGTGAAGCTGGAGCAGGACTCTTGAAGAAACTGCATTGACCTAAGATGGATGTTCCACCGACATGAATGATGTTCCACTATATCGGGCTACTGAGTGAAAGCCAGCATGAGTCCAGTGCTGGTACTGGAGACGAAAACTTTTGCAAAATTGTTACTGTAAGCCTCACGTTCGTGGATGCAATTCTATCAGGAAGCAGTGAAACAATAAGCTACACCTTTTTTCTTTTCCTTCTGATGGTATAAACTGTCTTGTGACAGCCAGATGACATTTAGTGGATATATTCCAGTAGAAGTGGAGCTTTCCAAAATCTCCCAATGCCCACTGAAAGAGGGCATTCGAGCTGTGTCCCGACAAGGAATGTAAAATGGTACATCTGTTGCCGAGCGCATTGTACTGTAAATATCGACAAGGCCAGTTCACTGTCACATATTTTATGCAAAAAATCCTAACAATATATTTTTGCCTTCTATTTCCTCTTATTTTTGTACAGACTGCTCTAACCTCAATCTACTTAATGAAGAGAGAAAGAAAATTATTTATATGTACCACATTAATAAAAAAAACAAATGCTCACTATCAAGGCTTATTGTTGCTGTTTGGACCAGATGTTTTATTTAAGTTATTGATGAATATTAACAATTTGGACAAAATGAGTTTGCACTGGCAACTTAAGGTACTTTCTTCGGTATAGTCTAGACACAGAACAGTTAGACATAGCAGGCCTCTAACCAACCTTTAAAGGGATTTGTTCACCAACAACCATGTTAAATGCCATCTACTGCCAAATATGTTTTTTGTTTTTTGGTTCTGAGTTACTGTGTCCTAATTGTCCTCAATTTCTGTCCTGGTGACAGATATCACAATGAACATAATGTGAACCCCAATTCTCTCCAACAGGTGCACAGAACAGTAATTAAGGCATAACTAAGGCTTTAACCTTCCTCATTCTAACATTAACTTAAAAAAAATGAGTTCACCTAAGCTATTAAAGTGTATGTTTAGGCAAAACCTCTTATTTCATTTTAGATAGATTGGGGAAAATGTAGCCCTTTGTCAAGCTTTTATTGCTGTTTGTATCCCCATTGCGGAGATTCCCCCCACTATTAATACGGTTGACCGTTGTCACCAGGAAATAAAGTGAGGGGAAAGCCAACATTTTAGAGTTGTCCTCAAAAACAGTGGGGGAAGTGAGGGAAAATCTTCCAATGGGGACATCTGTTCAGGGGGAAAACTCTAACAGGAATTTGACTCACTTTAGGTGATTTCCTTTAAAGTCCTGCTTCGGGAAAGGGTAATTTCCCTAATTGTACAGAGAGCATACAAATACCCTACTCTCTCCAAAACTAAAAAACTAAAAAGTTTAGCTATAGATACACTTAAAAGTGAAACCCTTGTTTTTCTGATAAAAAACACAATCCACTTAAGGCTAGTTATATGCCAAGCATTGTACGGATGTTAGCAAATTTTAGTCCTTACATGGTTCTACTTAGTAGATAGTGAGACAGACCATTCTATCAGTCGGAGTATTATAATAAAAACTATTGTGTTCTTCCAGCATCCCTTAAAGACCTGCTAAAGCAGGGTTCTCAAACTACTGGCCCGTGTGCCAACTCCAGCCCGCCGGCCGGTACTATGTGGCCTGCAGCCAGCTGACAAGTCAGGCACGCGGTCACGGACCGCGTGCCTGATTTTTAGGTGCAGCTACAGAGACTGCATCTCTGCTGGATGCAGAGCGCATAGCTGCTCCTCTCAGTGCCTGCTTTCGACCGGCATTCTGACAGTCATCACTGAACTGAACTCATAGGAATTTTAATTTGCAATAGCCAATAGCAAGCTGGCTATTGCACCCGCCCTCTGCTGCTGTCCATCAGCAGATGATGACCTGATGGAGAACAGCCAGCATTGTAAATAGGCACTGTAGGTCCCCACAAGGCTGCCGTGAGGTTCCCAGCAAGTGCAGGACCTTACGGCAGCCGAATCTGTTAAAAAAATGAAAGGGCCGGTATCACCCTTTAGTATAAGGCATTTTCACAAGTACTTGTGAAAATGCCCAGTATCTGTACCGATACCAATACTGGTATTGGAGCATCCTTAATCCCATCCATCCCTTCCTATAGGCATTATACCCCCTACATATCCCCTATAGGCAGCAGATCCCCACCTCGGGGGTGTACAGGGACAATAAGGGCATGCTGTGACTTGTAGTTGCCTATGGGATATGTGGAGGCTGTACAGGGACGATGAGGGCATGCTGGGACTTGTATTTTGTGGTGGAGGTGTGGGGGGGGGGGGGGTGTACAGGGACAATGAGGTCATTCTGGGACTTTTAGTTCTGTGATATGAGGCTGTAATAATTACTGACCTCCTGAAAGTACTAGTAATAAAATGCCGTTATAAAACATAGTTGAAGTTTCAAGCTCAACTATGTTCTATTCAATGTTCTATAATAGCATGTACAGTAACCACCTAATCTGCCATTATCCTCCTGGTTGGTCTTCAATTTATGGCCGGGAGAAGCTCTGGGAGGAGGCTGGGGAAAAAAAAGCACACTGGGGTGCGGTACTGTGGCCAGGTATGATTACATGCAGTTAGAAAACAATCACTCTCCCTGGATGCAGAATTGTGCATCCAGGGAGAGTAATTGATTCAGAGCACCTGAACAACACAATTAAACATGCGTTTTCAAACTTTTCAGGCACTCCCATAGAAATCTATGGGACCAAAAACTCTCGATTCTGCCTCCAAAAGAAGATCCTAAACTGTTTTAGCTTCAAGCAGCAAGCTTCTCATATATGATCAGGCTCCATCTAAAATAATGGGATTCTTTATGTTGAGCTTTGAAGTACTTAAACAAGCTTCAAAATACCCAGGTGTGAATGGGGTCTAAAGCTGCCCATACACCTATAGATTTTCTGCAGATTTCTATGGTCAGATGGAAAAAGTGCAACAGATTCCTCCATCTACGCTAAACTGTGTGGATGGAGGAATCTCCCACTGGGCCAAGCTTCAGTATCTTGCTAGTTGGCCTGTTGCTGTCAAAATACCTGAACAATCTGATTGGATGCAGGCAATGTTCAGGTGTTTTAAGAGCCAGCGTGGCCGGCTAGCAAGATACTGAAGCTTGGCCCAGTGGGAGATTCCTCCATCCACACAGTTTAGCGTAGATGGAGGAATCTGTTGCACTTTTTTCATTTGACCATAGAAATCTGCAGATAATCTATAGGTGTATGGCCAGCTTTAGGCAGCACTATGTTGAGATGTTGATGAAAAAGGAAACACTGTTTATCCAAGGATCTTGTAATGTAGATTGAAGGTGGTAACTGTACATTGCTGCCAAGGGAAGTGTTATCATAAAAGAAAACAATTGTGGTAGTAAAATGCTGCTCTGTTGAGGGGTTAATTGATGCTGACCAGGTTTAAGACAGAGGTTGGTTAAAAAGCGGCACTGGGGACTAAATTAATAACAGACCGGAATGTGGGGATTACTGCTGAAAGGTATTTAATACTAATGTGTTGTTCCCAGAGGATATTCTGCTATATTATGGTTTCTTGATGTGATATGATATATAAGATGCAGTTGTGATATGATATAATGTGTTGTAACTTGATATAATGCACTATAACAGCAATGTATAATATGCTTTTATGGTATAATATGCCCATACTGTATGATATCATTTCCTGCTGTGGGGTGATATGCTCTTACTGGGTTATATACCTGTTGTATATACCTGTTGTTGTTACTATGATGGTATTGTATAATGTGCTGTAGCATAACGTACAATAGTGTCCTGATATAATGGGTTTGTTCAGGCTTGATATAATGTACCATAACAGCTTTGTATAATGTGTTCTTGCAGCTCTTGCTCAGATTTAGACAAAGTCATCTAGGCTACGGCTATTATGGCAAAGAAAAAGTTCAACATTCTTTTGTCACTGTGACATTCATTCTCATGTAGCCTGCAGGTAGGAGACAGAGCAGCTCAGCTATATACAGTATATATTGTTTGCTTCAAAGTATTGTATTAACACATTAAACAGTACAATAAGGGAGTTATAAAATAATAACAAAGAAAAAGAGTGTAAAGCATCAAATACAACTGGAACAAAAGAATACACGGTCTATCTATCGGACTGGGAGAGAAAATGTAATAGCAGGTGGGGTGCAGGGCAGAGCTTGCAAACCTCGAGGGATCATGAAGGTGCCGCAGAGTGTGGTAAGTAGTGAGAGCAATAGAAGAACAGGGTGGTGAGAGGTGAAAGAAGAAAGATAGGAAGAAGGATGTTAAAGAAACTCTTAAGAAGGGCAGAGAGAATGAAAAAAGTAGAAAGTAGTAAGAAAAACTTGGCCGAGCGACAGATGATCGGTACATACAGTGGCGTAACAACCGGGGGCAGTCGGTGCACTTGCCACGGGCGCAGAGCTGAGGGGGGGTGCCATTTTAGCTAAATGCCGAAAGTGACATTTTCCTGCCGATACATCGGCGCACCCGTGATTTCTTTCCTCCCCGCTGGGTGCTGCTCTGTGTCCCATCGGAGAGGAGAGAAAGTGACAGCCGGCCTAGCGCTGCGGGAGGAGAGCAAGGTACAAACACTCAGTGATCAGTGATTGCTTAGTGTTTGTATATAATTGAGGACATGGTATGTGTATTATATCCTCATTTATGAATGAATGGGAGTGATCTACATACCCTCCTGTTCATTCATAGTTGTAGTTATAGTAAACATACTCTGTCCTCATCTTATGAATGAACAGGGACACTCATAGAGGATTCCTGTTTATTGATAACAGGGGATACAGAAAAAGAGATTGAGGACTCTGTGTCTTCAGTCTCTTTTTCTATTTTAAAAGGGAAACATCAGGGGTCTGTTTAGACCCCCTAATATTTCCCTGAAGCCCGTAAAAGTAAAGTAAAAAAATATTTATAAAAAATAAATAAAATGATGGCCACGCCCCCTCCCACCCCTAAATGCAGGTGTTTTTTCAATGGTAGATCTCATTGAGCTCATCATTTGAAAAGTAGATCTCCAGACGAAAAATTGTGGGCGCCCCTGCTCTAGGTGGTGTGTTTATATCTGCATGTAGAGAGGTTAATTCTATGATTCATGAGCCACTATACACTTTTTTTAAATATAATTCCACCCCCCTAGTTGTCTTTAGTATATACTTTTACTGAGAAGGTTTGCACATGTCCAGTCCTTGTGGTGCATGTGGTTTGCCTGATGATTTAGAATGCTGCAAACCCTGGCTTGCCTGGTTCGAATCTCTACTGTGGTAACATGTTTGTTTTAGAGTTCAATAGGCTCAGAGAGCCAATCTCCATGATATAGGAACATGAGCAACTAATTCTGTTGTCTTCTGGTTCTGTGGTGCAACATGTAAGGCTCCTGGAGCCTGAATCAGAAGTTTGTGGGTTTGATTCCCATGACTGAGTGCAAAGTT